CCCATGTTTATCGCAGCCTCATTCACAACAGCCGTGAGATGGAAGTAACACAGATGTCCTTCAACAGATGAATGGATTTAAGAAAATATGGCATATACATAAAATGCAATGCTGTGTGTGACAGTCGCTCAGTCGTGTCCGACTCTTTGTGACCCCATGGACTGTAGCCTGCCAGGCTCCTGTCCATGGAACTAATTCTCCAGGCAAGAATACTGAAGTGGGTTGCCATGTCTTTTTCCAAGGGATCTTCCCGATGCAGGAATTGAACCTAGTTCTCCTGCACTGCAGGCAGATTCGTTACCATTTGAGCCACTGGGGAAGCCAAAATGGAATGTAAAGCAGCCTTGAAAAAAAGGAAACCCTGTCCCATGCTACAATATGGACAAGCCTCCAGGCCATTCTGCTAAGTGAAATACAGTATAATTCTACTCATATGAACTATTTAAAGGGGACAAAAATCACAGAAACAGAAAATAGGAAGGTGGTGACTGAGGGCTGGGAGGAGGGGAGAGGGGAAACTAGTGTTGAGTGGATATAGAGTTTCAGTGTTGCAAGACAAAAAAGTTCTAGAGATCAGTTGCACAACAATGGGAAGAGACTGAACATGACTGAACTGCACCCTCAACAATGGTTTAGAGGGTAAACTTAATGTTACATGCTTTTCACCACAATACAGAGAAAAGTTATTGTGGTAGATGGTGGTGCAAAGACAAGCCCATCAAGCCCTTCTTCCCTCATCCCCTACTCCTACTCCTTCCTCTTCTCACATCTAACAATATACCCTCTCGACCCAGGGCTCCCCCACACCGTCTTACTTGGCACAGACCTCCATGCCCTCATACCAGCTGGCTTGCGATTAAAATGGACCAAGTTAGGAAGTGCCAGAGAGCGCACAGCCTATTGTATCGAATTTCTTTGGCCTTTTATAGGGACGAACCCGTGAACCCAGCTAGTACTGGGCAGGGGCTTGAAAACCAAGAGGCCTGCATTGCTTTGCCTCCGACACGGATCAGCTGAAGCAAACCATTTAACCGTGTGGACCTCTTTGCCATAAAAGACGCTGGCCCAGGTGATCTTTATAGCCTCCCAGCTCCAAGTCTCTAATTAATTCAATTGCTAAAGAACCCATCGAGAACTTTAGAAGTCTCCTCAGCTGGACTTCTCCAGTGATTCCTCAAGCCCCTTTATCTTTTACTCAACTCCATGTATTTGCTTATTTTAGACACAAAAGCAGTTTTTGAAAATGTTACCAAAATAAGAAAAATTATAAGGTCAAAATTCTACTGATAATAATTTTTGGACCAACACCCTAGGGAGTGCCCCAGGCCTCCCTGAGTCAGCAGAGTGACCCTACAACCACTTCATGCCAGCTTGTGGATGCAGCGTTAAGTCACTCCGGGCACACAGGACAGAGAGGAAGGGGCCCTGACCACCTTCCGTGCCTCACTGCAAATCAGCCAACGTGACTGACACATCCATCTAAGCCAGATGCCAAGGTGGGCAGAGAACACAAAAAAGATAATCACCACTCAACCCAAGGAGCTCAGGGTCCAGAGGGGACTCTCTCAGAGAGTAAGAAAATAGAGAATTCATTCCACTAAGAAAGCCAACCCATACAGAGGGCAGAGAAAGGGAGGGGATCAGGGAAGTTATCTGTGTTCTATCGTATTCTGGAAGCCCTCCCTGAAAGGGCTGGGTCTGATGGGTCATAACTGCTTTCTACTACAACTTGGCTGAACTTAGAACTCAACAGGTGACTTGAAGGTGAAGGCTGATGATGGAAAAGACAGCCTCTTCCTTCCTCCCCTGCCTAGCAGTCAGCCACACGATCCCCTGATTAAAAAAGAGTCGACTTTTTATATAATTAGTCCTTACATTTAAACAACCCCAGGGACTTCCCTGGTGGTCCAGTGGTTAAAGACTCCACACTCCCAATGCAGGGGGCACAGATTCCATCCTTGGTCGGGGAAATAAAATCCCTTATGCTACACAGAAAGACCAAAAAAAAAAAAAAGCCAAACAAACAAAAGCCCCCAAATGGTCGGGAATGGAAGCATTTAATCTCTCATGATGAGAGTGCCCAGTGCAGACACACGGAGAGGCGCAGTCCTAGTCTGGGTGACCTTGGGCTGGTCCACCTGTCTTCTGCTGTAAACATGTGTCTGATGACTTCCCTAGGGTGCCGGGAAGATGCTTATAAAGTGCAAAGGAAACATGAGAGCCAATATCAGGCACTCATCAGCAACCACCACCACGCAAGCGATACATATAAAGGTGTCACTGACTGACTGATTCAGAAACTTTCACCCTGGAAATTCCACCGAAATCATACACTACTCTTTTTCTAGCAGAACTGACACTGCTCCGAAGTAAACAGAGTACTTCCCCCTGTGGCTGCCTCTGGTCGGGCTCCTCTGTGCTCCATCACACCAGCTGCTGAGGAATTTACTTGCCTGCTGACCAGCTGCTCATAGAGGATACGAGCCAGGGAGAAAGATTTCAGGAGCAGACAGGAGAGGTGAGGGAAAACTCTCCACAGAGAGCTTTCCCTGCCACAAGTCCTCAGGACATCAGAGCCATAATCTCATCCTTTAAAGCTCCTGACACTCATTCTCTGCTCCACAGAAAACTTTATTGTTTACTGGACTCTAGAAAAAAAAAAAATCGCTGTACTAGTGGGTTCCCGGCAAACATTTTTTATCATGCAGTCATTGTACCACATCCCAGGGACTCAGGGAAACACCGCATACAAGCACCAGGACATTTTCAGACGAGCTAGAATAATCCCAGTCCTTGATCTCCAGAGCTTCTTACTGGAACACTGCAAACTAAACAAACTCCATGAGAAAATGCACTTCCCGTGCGTGCGTTTAAACATATGCACGGTCCAAGCAAGCAGTCATAGACCGGTTCTATAAAGGGCAATCCAAATTAAAAGTGACACTTTCACTACTAGGGAAGACCATTGGATCTGTTCTAATTACGGAGAAATACAGAAGTCAAGAAAAGAGACTTTCGAAAAGAATGGAGAAGGCAAATGATAAGATAGAAAATGATAACACAAACCGTGGCTGCAATTTTTAGGTCACAGTTAAGAGACTGCGCTGTCTGGGTTTGGGATTGGTTCCCTCCGTGCGTGTAAGGAAAGAGTTGCTGTGGTCTTCCACTGAGGCACCATGAGATGAGCCCCTCCTTGGTATTTCTCCCTGCAGCCCCGAGCCCCTCAGAACAGCGGGCTTATGCAGTCTCTTTAGAAGAACTAGCAAGCCACAAAACGGCTTGCTTTTCGTTGTCTCCACTCCAAAATCACTCTCCCATAGTTGTTCAAGTTCTCCTGAGGTCAGATTTATTGTCGTTGAACTAAATACAATTTACAGATTTAATGTCCTATTATTTAGTTACCTCTGTGTTATGAAGTATCAGATAGATTAGGCATACCCAAGAATTTTCCTGAACTCATAGAATCAAATTTATTCAGCAAAAGAAATTAAAGTATCAACCTACCTAAGTTCTTTACTCTGACACCCTCTCCACCGCTGATACTGCTATCCCCAGCTATCTACATAGAAACCCGAAAGTTCCACGAGGCGTTTTTGGTCCCAGGCAAAAACAAACCCAACCCACCTTTTCAGTTCACATTAACCCTAATTTAAACCCCCTGGGAAATCGCGCCAGATAAGACATACTAACACCTGAGTACAATTATGAACCCCCCCCCAATGAGCAAATATGAGAAAATGCTGTGTTTTCCTCTAAACAGATCCTATGTAAAAGCCATGTTAAAACAGGAGAGATGTTTCTCAAAATACCCCACAGATGAAGAAAACTGGTTATTTTTTCATTGTCTCTGCAGGGTCCCCTCAATGAACATATTAAATGGGCCAAGCCACAAACAAACTTCAGCGGTTTCAGCTTCTCACTGAAGAAGGCTTTTCCATCTGAGCACTGATGGAACAGTGAAACGAAAGTGCACACCGAACGCAGGGAAGGGAAAATTAATTGGGGGGGATGGACAAATCAGTGTGCTCCTCACGGTGGCAAACTTCACAACAACTTTTTAGAAGCAACAAACCGCAGCACCACTAGCCTTTACAGACATACAGACACGTACATAAATGCTCACACACACCACTACTTGGAAGATAAGTACTGTTTGCAAACATCCTCCACCATCCTGCCTTTACCAGACTGCAAACCTTGACCAGAGACTGGGAGATTTCTACTCTTAGCTACCCTCTCTGCACTGTCAAAGTGGGAAGGTCATTCTGCCTGGTCACTTCAATCATTCTCCCTGCATCACAGTTTTCTACTTTGGGGTTGTTCAACGTTCAGATGCCTACGAGTAAAATAACCATTCGGCAACTTTATTCACCTTGGTTCTTTAAAAAAAAAAAAAGAAAGAAAAGAAAGAAATTCATTGTGCAATGCCCAGGAAAAGCTGACAGCATTACTGTCTCTCCGACAAGCGCTTGTAATTACAATGGGGGNGGGGGGGGGGGGAGAGAGAGACTGTCTGACCAGACTCGCGGAACCCTTAAAAAAAAAAAAAGATTCCAACCCCAATGGAGCCTGAGAACTTTTTTTTCCTAAGGAGACCACCCCTCGGGAACAAAAGTTACATTTCGATCACATGTTGGGAGTAGGGAGCAGGTTTGTTTTTTTTTAAGCGCACTAATTACCGGGGTGTTTTACAGACCTGAGGACCACTCGGGTTCCTCCTGACCGACTGTGAGCGGCATTTCATTGTCAAAAAGCAAAGGAGGTGGGGTGGGGGCGCAGGAGCCGACAGGGGGCTCGGCGGGAGCGGGGGAGCAGCAAGGTTACACTAGAGGGTACGCAGCCGCCGAGAGCTGCATCTCCTTCCCTGGCGCCCCAAATAATTTCCTGCGAACAGAGCGACTGCAACAGCCCCCTCGGATCGGAGGAGCCCGGCACGATCAGCCGGGCCGGTGCAGCTCAAGGCTTTCCACCCCGGAGAGGGAGGGGGAGAAGATCTTTACCTTAATGCTACACTGAGCAGGAGTCTCAGACATGTCTCACAGCGAGAGAGATCAGGAAGTTCTCAGTTTTTTTTCCACTTTCCTTTCCTCTCCCCAACCCAGAAACGCTCCACGGCCAGCCGGACGCGGTCATTTAAGAAGTTTCTTGCAGCATCTCTCCCACCCCGGGGCCCGGGCGCAGGGCTGCTAAGCTCCGCCGGGCCGCCCCCGGGCTCGCGCCTCGGGGCCCCGGAACCCTCCGGACAGGATCAACGCCTCCCCCTCCCCTAGTCCGTCTCTTGGATACATTGAAAGGCACAGGGCTTTTTTTTTTTTTTTTTAAATTTTTCCTCCGCCCCCCGCCCCGAGCCGAGCGCAGACGCAATGAAAATAATTATATAGGAAGGGACATTCCGGTAAGGACGCGGAACCCGAAGGAGGAAATAAAACAATAGCCTTTGTTCTGCTTCTCGACCGCGGCCTCTTTAAGAGAATCCACCAGGAAATGGGAGATCGGGTTACAGCCCGCACCGGGGAAAAGGGGCGAGCGGGCAAGCGGCGGAGCGCGACGCCGCCGGAGACAAAGCGGGGCTGCTGCCCGCAGACGCCCGCCCGGCCGCGGGGGGGAATTCCCCGCCGAGGTGGGCGCCCCGAAAACGCTGGGCGCGCAGGCGCGCGCCCGCCCGGCCGGGAATGCGGGCGCTGCCCGGCCGAGCACGCGTCCTGGAGAAGGGAAGGCTGCTGGGCAGTTATCAAAGGCGGTTGAGTTCCTTTTCCTGACCACCACCACCCCCAGCCACCCTTCCTCCCTCTTTCGAAATCCGCTGTCCTTTTAAAGCAATAGCGGCCGCTACCAACCGACATAGGTGACTCGACTACAAAGTTGACAGGACGGGTTCCTGGAGATAATACCCTTCCCGGGACCGCTTCTCCGAAGCCGTCACTGGCGGATGGGGCGACCCCCGGGATCCTGCCGGGAGGGTGGGAGGAATATTTGGCTAGGAAAACAATTGAGAGGAGGTTAAAGCCGGTCGGGCTGAAGGTTCTATCCTTGAGTACGTGTTGTCTGATCACTGTATTATTTTTATTGTTGTTTATAGTCTCTGAAAATGCTCCGACGCGTCCGCCGCAGAAGTGGGCACATTACTAATTATATGTAAATTCTAAACCCTGCTAATACTTTAGGCTTTAACATATCGATGTGTATTAAATTATGAATATGTAGACCACGACTCATTTCCCAGATCCTCCCCATTTTCCTACCCACTTCCCTTCATCTCACCACGTGATAAATCGTGTGCAGACTTTTTTACACGCTCGTTCGAAGAACACTCTGAACCAGGATTTATTTAAGGGGTTGGAATGGGAAAGCCCTGTTTCTGGGAAGGTGGGAATAATGGGATATTGTGAGTCTCCGAGGACCTCAGCAGTCCTTGTCACCTGCTAGTCCTATTCTTCCCGGGCGGGCTCACATCCACACCAACTCCTCTGTCTTGAACCACCTGCTGCCCCCTATCCCAATCCACACACACGTTATCTGCCTTTGATCCCATGGCTGGTGTTGCTGGCATTGGTTCTGATGTCTCATTGCTGGGTTAAATCCTATGAACCTCTACATCCCTTACTTACCAATATGATATTTGGCAGCTCACGTTCTCAGCTTAGGTAAAATGGGGTGGTGGTGGGGGGAGTAGTACCTATCTCTTAAGATTGCTGTGAATGTTAAATGAGCAGGTATATACGAAGTGATTATCTGAGTGCTTGCTACATATTTTACCTGCTCAATGTTAGCTACAATTATTTAACCTCAGGAACGAATTAACTCAACTTTATTCTCTCTCCTAACCTCCAGGTGACTCACAAAAGTGGTCATATAAATGAGTGTGTGTGGTCCAACGCAAAATATTGCAGTAGCTGCTGTGGCAAATGTCGCATTTATCCAGGGGCTGGTGATCTCTTTCTAGAAAGCTCTTGACAGTAAATATTTTAGGCTTTGTGCCCCAAGAGACAAAATTTAGATTTTGTAGATACTTATATAACAATAGAGGAAACAAATATCCAGTTTTTTTATTGACAAAATATAAGGTGTAATAATAAGAGCTGTAATACAAGTCTAACAGAGGAATGGAACTCTTTTTTAGGGGGATAACATTCACTAAGTTAAACATCAGTTTGAAGTAAATGTTCTCTATCATCACAATTGATTGCAAAGGTTTATCTGTTAATGTGGATCTCCCATGAGATTTTACTTATTTCATTTGGAAATATCTTTTCACCCAGATAGGGTACTGCCAAATACATCAATCCATGAGCATATGGTTTTACTTGAGCATATTTATTGCTTATAAGGCAGTTATACAATTTTATTGGAATTCTATAAATTCTCTTGATATTTCCCCTTTAGTATGCCATTACATTGCAGGTTAATCATTTCCAATTGAAAATTAGGTGGAAATGCCTCAATTGCACAGTGAAGTGGATTTTAAATATGAAAATGTCCTTTTCACTTGCGTCAAAATCCAAAACCACTGTTGGAACTGTAGTTTGAGCTCAGAAAAATAGAACTGCTGCAAATTTGTGTTAAAATGGAAGTCTTGCTTCATGTTTTAACTTTTTTAAAATTTGTTTTAACTGAAGTGTATAAAGCAGCTTGATATTATTTGTGATTCAATGTTAATTGTGTCAAAATAATTTAACTGCAGTATAAGCTTCACATATAGCTGTATTTTGCTTTGCAGTTTTAGGTTGAATTCATGAAAAACATTATCAAGTCTATAACAAACTAATTGCCAAACCACTCAGTAATTATGGTTGAAGGAAGTTCTTTTCATTCAAATTCGTTCCCATTTGTCAGGGGTTTCTCTGTTCCTTGTTTCCTGATTTCTTTGGGGTAATAAGGTATTTTTTTCATGTTCCATTTAATTTCCTAGATGGTCTTTCTAGTGTTTCTGTTTCTATGCTGAATATAGTGGTTGCTCTAGAAATTACAATTTGTGTCTTTAATTACCACAGTCTATCTTCAAATAATATTCTAATTTATGGATAGATAAGAAAACTTACAACAGTATAATTTCATTATTACTCTCCCATCCTTTATGATATTGTCCTATATTTTATTTCTACCTATTATGAAGCCCACCATACATTGTGGAGTGGTTGATACTTTTTTCTTAATATTGTAAATATATGTGTATAATGAAGGTACTAAAATATGTCTCTTTCATCTGCCTAACTATTTATCCTTTTCAGTACTTTCTTATTCCTTCTTGCAGATCTAGTATTATTTCTTTTTGTCCTCAAGAATCTCTTTGGCATTTCTTAGTGGAGACAGAGTCTTCTCAGCTTTGTCTGTCAGAATGTCTTTAGTTCACATTCAGTTTTGAAGGATAATTTTCAACTGTATATAAAATTTTAGGTTGACAGATTTTTTTTCCTTTTGGCACTTTAAACATGTCATTCCATCCCTGTCTCCATTATTTTTGATTAAGATTCATTTGTAGTTCATATTTTAGCTCCCGGTTTGTAATGTCTGTTTTCTCTGGCTGTCTTTAAGATGTGCTCTATAAATTTGGTTTTCAAAATTGTGACTAGGATGTGTCTATATATAGGGGTTGGTGGTTTTTGTGGGGGTTTTTTTGTATTTATTCTTCTTGATGTTGGCAACTATTCTTGGACCTATAAGTTGTTATCTTTTATCAGTTTTCGAAAACTCTCATCTGTTAGCTCTTTGAATATTCTTTCTGTCCATTCTTTGTCCTATTCTTTTTTTACTCCAGCTGATGCAAGTGTTAGACTGTATGACATTGTTCCATAGACCCAAATATTCTTCTTTTCTTTTAACTTTCTATTTGGATGCTTTCTATTACTATTTATCTCTTTTCTAACTTTTATCCTCTGTATCATCCAACTTACTGTTAAGCCTATCTAGTTCTTTACTTCAGATACTGTTTTTTTATTTTTAGCATTTCTATTTTTTAATATTCTCCATCATTTCTCTGAAGTTGCTCATATCATTATACATGAGTTCTACTTTTAAGTCCTTTAGCATTTTTGTTATACTGTTACAGTTCTCAAATATAATGTTTTCTTGGTTAACTTCTTTTGGTTTCCTTTCTTGACCATGAGTTACATTTTCTTACTTGTGTGTGTGTGTATTGATATTTTTTACCAGACATTTTATATAAAAATACATACATTATGTAAAAATACACAGTAGAGAATGAATTAAATAATATTTTCCTCCCAAAAGGGGCACACACATTCTTCTATAAGGCTGTTAGAATTGGAGCTGAGTTGATACACTTTATAGTCGAGGCAGATGTGGGCTTTGTTGTAATTCTGCAGTTTGATTCAGGCAGGATCAGAACTTTTCTTAGAAACAAATACTGTCTGAATACTGTTATCTCAGCTGTTCTGCCTTGCTTGGTGTCTTCATTATCTTTCAAGCTTTTGAGTAAGTGCTCCCTTCTCTCTGCCCTGACCTTTTGTGTTAGCTGAAGGCCTGGAGTGCCATGGGTTTTCTCTCAGTTCTCCCACCCTCTACAAGTCTTTCTTAACTGAAAGTCCAAAGTGTCTCTGAAAGTGTCTCTCAGCTCTTTTCACTGTCCTTCTGTTTATGGTCCAATCCCAATAGTTAATGAAAATCAGTGGGAAAGAATTGTGAGATAGTATAATTTCACTCTGGGCCTGTGATTCCTCTGGATTCTACTCTGATACATTAGCCCACACACTGCCATTAAAATTTGTTAAAAGTTAGGCTGATTTCTTCTTGCCATCATCTGTGGTGGGGTCCTCTTGTCTATAATTCAGTCAATGGTGAGAACCAATGCAGATCTTTTCTTTCATTTGAAGAACTGTCGTTTTCTGAAATTTAATTCACTGAGGTTTCTTTGTGCTCTCATTTCTCTGATTTTTTTTTTTTTTGTAATTATGTAGACTGTATAATTTGTTTGGGGTGTTAGGGAATGAATTACAGTCTCTTGTGACTTTCTACATACAAACTGGAAGAGGGACCTGAATCTTTATCCTACAAAAGAATGATGAGGAGGGGGGGAGAAGTGGGGGAAGAATGAACAGTTAAGAACATGTGGAAGTAGATATGCCTAATTTAAAAACATAGTCATTCTCATAATATAGTTATATTTTTACAATGAAAAATAATAACATTTTTAAAACATAGACTGCAAAAAGAAACACCGTTCACGTAT